AGAACACACTATCCATGAAAGATTTGAATTAAACAACAACCCACACTAAGAATAGCAAGGACACCATTCAATATACTTGATCAGTCATCATTCAAGAGACTCAAGAAAGGTAGGAGCAAACAATGCTCAACTATGAAGGAATACTATTGATTAGTAATCTCCATAACCAACAAAGATATGCAACACATACACTATCTCAAAATGCTTATGCCAAAGCACAACTCATCCAACAAAAGTAGGACAAACCCCACAATGGAACTCATGAACACACACATCATGAATTCGAACACCAAGCCAAAAGAAAGGCTCATCAATCGAACTACTAGAAGTAGTATGAAAATAAGAAGTTTTGTTTTAAAACAATTCTATCAAGAATTATACTTGAAAAAGAACGGTTTCTGCAAGATCAAAAGATCCAAGACAAGATGAAAACCCTCTTGGTTAAATCATACTTGACACGAAAAATGGACACTCCATTTAACAAAAATTTCTCACAGGAAAAACTCTCAAAAGAGACAACAAAAATGACCACTCAAGGGTGCTTTGAAATTTCAGCCATCTCCCCTATTTATAGGCTGAGAAATTCGGCCAGCACCAAGAAAAGAAGATCAATTAGGACTCTCTAATCTTATCTCACAAGGAGTAGAAGTAGAAGAGTATTTGATCTCTTTGACTCTATCTAAAATCTAGGAAACCTTATCTAAATGACTTATCCTCAAGTAGGAATATCTAGAAGGAATCTAAGACTCCTAATCAAAATACTCTAGTTTAATTCAGTCCACATGACTTATTTAACTAGATAAAAATTCGAAAATTAACTCCTAGACTTAGACTAACTCTAATCTCGAAAATCAACTCTAAATTATTGAAGTAAAATGTCTTGAAAGCCCTTCCAAAAAGTGGAATATTGGTCTTGCGCCCCTCAAGTTGTAGAAAACTCCAATTTACTCCAAAATTTGTAGAATTCTCTTATTGACTCCAAAAGATTGGAAAAACACTTGAAACAATTAAGATAGTTTGCAACCTATCCAATTGCGTAGCAATGGACTCAATGTTGAACACTTTGATCAAATAGGCCGTCCATTCAAGAACCTAAATGACTCTTCTCACTAGCTTGATCAATGATCTTCATGGAGTACCTAGAGTCAAACTCTCTTAATACTCTTGAGCACTTATTTCTATGAGGTCATCATCTCCTTTGGTTTGAACCCCAAAGTGAATGACATTCTCATCATCTTGATCATAGCTCTTTTGAACCAACTCCCTAGCACATAGGTAGTCAAGATCCATCCTTTCTTCCTTGATTGGCCTGCAAAGTAAACTTGGTATTCCAAAACTAGAATGAAGGACTAGCTCATTCCCCTCACTAGGAGAATCACTATGGAAGACTACCTGATTCTCATCAAAATATATTTAACAATTAATATCTCAAATAAAGTATATATTTACCTTCAAACTCTAGAGCATGAGCAATTTCGTTTTAGTCTATGTGGACCGAGATTGATGATGCATAACTATTTTTTTAGCTAAACCCATTGAAATTCTATAATAGCAACGGTGCAAAACATACCAAAATGAGACCCGCGTGATTGTTTAAAACTAAAACCATCAATACTCATAAATATTTGTCAATGACATACAAAAGAAATAATCCTTAGCATGGAAAATATAATGCATGTTCTAACAATGATGCCTCCTCTCTAGTAAAGAAAAGGTATATCAGCAGTACCAAAATTTTCCTTATGATGTCGAAGTTTAAAATACAAGATAAATTGATTAGTTAACAGTTCAATACAAAGGGAAAAAATCATATAGATTTTTTCTATTCATGAACCTTTTGCAATTAACGACTACATTTCTCATTATTAATCATAAATCAGATGGAAGGTCGTTCACAAGTATCTACACTGGAATAAGCTAACGAACCTTCTTCAACACAAGCAAAATTAAGAAATCAAGTGAAATTCTAACAATCACTCGAAACATTGAGTTAATAATATTAAAGTACAACTTACCATGTCAATTGAAACCCCATCATACTCCATTTTCGACCAATAAATGAAAAATATCCATCAAGAATTACAACTCAACAAAGAGAGATGTCAATGTATATCTTTCAGACAAAAAAAAGGAGATTGGAAGGAGAGAGGGGGAAGAGATAGAGGACGATGGGGAAGGGAAGAAGAGGAGAGAATCAGAACGTAACCTCTTTATTTTTTTTAGTGAATAATCTTTTTTATTTTTGAAAAATATATCAAATGGATTTATGTAAAAAAAATAATATTAACTTACGTTTAACGTATTCAGATCTGGTTGTAAATTATATTGTAAGAAAAATTATTTGGTACTTATCTCTTTTTATTTTTGGTTACCCAATTCTTTTTGTTTTTGAAAAATACATTAGATGGAATCATCTTAAAAAAATAATACTAACCAACATTTAATTTGTCCGGACTTAGTTTTGAGTTGTATTCGGAACATAATAATTTGATAACTAATCTTTTTTATTTAATTTTTGAAAAATATATCAAATGAAATCATCTGAGAAATAATATTAATCTACGTTTAATGTATCTAGATTTGGTTTCGAATTGTATTCATAATATAGTATTTTATAACTAATCACTTTTTACTTTTAAAAAATATCTTAAATGGAATCGTGAAAAATAATGTTAATCCAAATTTAATGGATATAGATTTGGTCCCAATTGTATATGTACGTAGTATAATCATTTCCTAACTAATCTCTTTTTATTTTTGTAATTAAACTCTTCTTATTTTTGGAAAATAATAAAAAATGAAATTATTTAAAAAATAATATTAGCATGCATATGATGTATCTAAACTTGATTTCAAATTGTATTCGTAATGTAATGATTTGGCAACTAATCTTTATATTTTTTATAACTATTTTCTTTTTGAAAAATATATCAAATGGAATCATTTAAAATAATACTACAAATACATTTAATGTATCTAGACTTAGTTTTGAATTGTATTCGTAATATAATGATTCGGTAACTAATCTCTTCATTTTTGTAATTAATCTTTTTTTATTTTTGGAAATATCAAATAAAATGTTTTGAGAAATAATATTAATCTACATTTAATGAATCCAAACTTCGTTTTCAAATTGTATTCATAATATAATTATTTGTAACTAATCTCCTTTTATTTTTTAAATTAATCTCTTTTTATTTTTTGAAAAATATATTCATGGAATCATATGTAAATAAATATTAACCTATCTTACATGTGTACAGACTTGGTTTCGAATTATATTTGTAGTATAATTATTTAGTAACTAATCTCTTTTTATTTTTGAAAAATACATCAAATGGAATAATCTGAAAAATAATATAAACATACGTTTAATTTATCCAGACTTAGTTTCGTATTATATTCGCAGTATAATTATTTGGTAACGAATATATTTTTTTGTTATTGGTAACTAATCTATTTTTATTTTTGGAAAATATATCAAATATAATCATCAAAAAAATATTATCAACTTATATTTAATGTATCCAGACTTAGTTTTGAATTGTACTCGTATAATTAATTGGTAAATAATCTCTTTGTTTTGGTAAGTAGTTTCTTTTTATTTATGGAAAATATACCAATCATCTAATAAATAATATTAACATACTTGTAATGTAGGTAGACTTGGTTTCGGATCGTATTCGTAATATAGTTATTTGGTAATAATCCTTTTTTTTGGTAACTAATACATTTTGATTTTTGGAAAATATATCAAACAGAATCTTACATTTTAATGTATCCAGACTTAGTTTCAAAATGTATTTTTAATAAAATTATTAATTTGATAATTAATGTTTCCTTATGTCATATATTTGTCAATAATTACCAAAGACGTGTTTATTTTTCCGAATTAACTATTGGTTAATTACTTAATTTAGTTTAATAATTTTACGTATTAGTAATAAGCTTTTAACTGTTTAATGAAGGAGAATTTTGGTGACGACACGTAGCACAATTGCCTAAACTTGCTCCTTGGCCGACATGTGTCGATTAAGAACTCTACTTTAATATATAATATAGATTAGGCGAACCTCCAGTATACTTGTGCGGCCACCTTCCTATTTTATAGGAACTTAATATGAAGTTGATTTGGACAACTTTTCCTCCAAGAAAGCCACGTGAAGCAGGATTCCTTCTCCTCCAAGAATTTGGCCGGCCTACTCTATTTAAACGAGGCTGCATGCGAGACTTCATCATCACCCGATCATCATCAAAATAACACAAGGCTGACGCCTCATCCTTTTATCTCTATTTTTCTTGTCCTTTATTTCAAGCCTTTTATCATGTTTTCATAGAATTAGCCTACATAGATAGTTCTTTTCCTATTCTTTCTTCATAGAAATTAGGTAGTATGTTATCGATTTCTACTTCAGTAAAGATGAATCTCATATAATCTCTCTTCTATGTAATAGTGTGCCATCGATAAGACAAATTATTCTTTGTCGGCGCTAGGGTTCTTTTCTCACTTTTATACAAATCGAGTTGCTTGGCTTGTTCAACTATTGATCTCTTTTATCTTTTTCTCTTTATTTTTTACAAACCAAAGCAAACCGTAAGTCCTCGATTCCATCTGAGGCTTGTTTTCGAACTCATCGACAATCGTCTGAATATTTTATGTTTGAGAGATTTTTACCCTTCTCTTCTTTCTCACAGTTGAAGGTGATTTTTTCCGCACAAACATAATGCCAGGCCCAGTGGGACAAGTTTTGGTTTGATTTTTTCTATTGTGGGATTTTTCCTCTTTCTCGAAAAAAAAATATTTTTCTTTTTCATCATGGACTATTCTAATAGCCATACTTATGGTTTTAGTAGCCCTAGGGATTTATTTAATCTATGACTCCTTCTCATACAGTAGGTTGTCTGATAATCTCCAATCTTCATATGCATATAGTCCACCACCACTTGGTGGACAAATCTGTCATGAGTGCATGTTTTCACATCCTGATTATACTTCTCCAATGGTCGATAATACTAGTGGATATCCGGATACCTCTAGTGACTATTATTCCCACTTTTATGATCAACATGGTGTTAATTGGCAATCTGGTGGTGTTGCCAATTGGTATAATGTCTCTACCGAGCAAAATTCCTCAAGTCTCGGGGCGCTGGCCGCTATTGGCAGTCAAGCGTGTGGTTGTCATAGCATGTTGGTTGATGGTTGCAACATGATAGAACCTTCGATACAGCATCAACTGGTGTTGCACGTACAATATCAGTAAGTTCAGCCACCGACATGGTATCAGCATGCTCTATCACAGCAAGAACAAGTGTTGCATGTTCAATATCAACAAGTAGTGTCGCTGGCACATCAGCAACATGTGTTGCAGGTACAATATCAACAAGAGTTGCAGTCAGCACAGTATTTGCAGGCATTGTCACAGTCCCAGCCTCAATTCCAACAAGATGTGCTGCAAGTACATAGTTCACAGGTGTTGCAGCAATCACAATACCAGCAGGCGGTACAGTATCCTCAACCATTGTCACAGCTGCATGTACATTATTTACAGGTGTTCCAGCAGTCATAGTACCAACAAGGGTTGTTGCAAGCACATTGTGAGCAAGTGGCGCCACAGTCACATGTTCAGCACCAGGTTTCACTTTTTAATTCTTATGCTGATTATGAAAAGTATAGTGAAAACTTTCAGAATGAGCTTATGAGATTGCGGTTAGAGCTTTTTTTAAAAAAATAAATAAGAGGTTTAGGAAGGAGTTCAGGTTCTAACTGTCTCAAAAACACTCAAGGGGTCTACCCAAAAGATGAATTTTTGAATCAGTTATACATATTCGTTGTACATATTCGTTTGGCACAGGAATTACTTAGGAATTCAGAGGTTAAATCATTGTCGATTGGTAATATTGTAGATGATAATCTCCAACAAAAGCATTTTGATCCTATGGGTAAGCCATGTGAGCCTGTTCTTTGTGAAGTTGTCCCTGTTGAAGTTAATTGCAGGAAGTCATGTGGGTCTTTGAGCAGTGACAACGACATTGAGGAGATTATTTGTGAAAGTTATGATGGTTCTCAACTTGACACTTCTGTTGCCAAGGGTTTAGATGACGATGAATCCAAGTGCAAGGAGGAACAATGTCGTTTGTTAGTACCTGATGTCGATATGGCTGTGACGGGCGAATTGACAGTATCTTTAGATGATGAGGTTCCAAAGAAAGATGTAGATGACCAGCCACATGAATGTTCAGATGATGCCACTCATGATAGGCAGTGTGACACTAGTGCCAATAAACTCAATGAAGTGACAGGTTCTTCACAAGATAATCGGAACTCTAATTATGCATGGCTTTATGACCGAAGGGGTTCTACAAGGAGCAAACGACATAAAGGGAAACCTGTGACACATGGTTTTCATTGTGCCAATAGGACTGATTCCATGCCTCAATTGCGCGGGATTGATTTTACTGTTGTGATGCAGAATCAGTGGCTGGAACAGCTATTTCTGATGATAATCAAGCTGACACATATGCTTGGTTGAACTACGGTGATGCAGTGGAATGGAGATTTGACTTGGCTAATGATCGTTAGTTGTTGAAATCCATGATTGGCCAAGAAAAGAAGCATTACGCCTGAGCTTAGTCAAAGATGCTTACACCTTTAGTTATGCGCCCTACTAGAATCATAGCATTTGAGGCATATATCACCGGTGATAAGTCTAGTAATGCATTAGTGAGAAACAGTAATGATGTGACTATCCAGCATGAGGCCGACCATGAGAGAAAGTCTGCTATTGAAGTTTCGTTGGTTGATGCTAAGGTCGATAACACCCAAGAGAGTGTTGTTGCGGATGATGTTTGCAAGGATACAGAGCCAATGTTTCTTTAGTTTGGCAATCAACCCAAAGTACGTTGTGATCGCCAGTATGTTTTCCCATTAGTGTTTGACGGCCGGGACTTGGTAACAACCAAGGACGTGATTGAAGGCACCAGCGACACTTCAAGTTTTAAGATTCAGAATGTTAATGAGGGGCGACACAATAGTGTTCCTACACATAAGGGTCAGTTCCAGCAAGTTCCTAAGGTTCGACACAGATACAGTGACACTAGAGGTACACACCGGTACAGTTCAAAGCATTCTGGCACAGCTAATAGTTTTTGACGGAGATCTTCATCGTCTCGAAGGAGTAAGCATGCAACTTCCTTTGATCATTATGTTCCTCATTATGCATGGGTGCCGTATTATATTATTTATCCGGTAGGATGTTACTATGTGGATGTGAGCACTATGCCGAATGCATATTATTGGTAGCCATTTGCTTGTTTACGTTCACATCTCATTCTATTCCATATTGAAGTCTCGGGGAGCTAGCCACTGCAAGTGTTCCGCAGACGAGTTACTATCACCACGGACCGATTCATTGTTGGCACAACTTCTGGTAACACAGGCACAATGCATTTGTTCCAAATACATTGTGCCTCGGGGGGCTTTATGTTGACACCAATTTTATAATTGTATTGGCCCAACAAATGATATGAATCGGCCCGTAAATAATGAGTTCCGAAAATTGGAAGGAATATGATGTGTGAATTGGATCACCGACTGATATTATTAATTATGGGATATTTTCTATAATTAAGGGATTGTATTTGAAGGCTAATTCTATTTATACTTGGATTAAGATTGATTTGATTAAAAGAAGGAGAGATTTGGTTTGATTTGGGGACCTTCTCACGAGATGGTTGATTGATCAATTACAACTGATCAAATATTAGGCCAACCTCCTATACACTTGTGCGGCCACCTTCCTATTTTATAGGAAATCAATATGAAGTTGATTTGGACAACTTTTCCTCCAAGAAAGCCACGTGAAGCAGGATTCCTTCTCCTCCAAGAATTTGGCCGGCCTACTCTATTTAAACAAGGCTGCATGCGAGACATCACCATCACTGAATCATCATCAAAACAACACAAGGCTGACGCCTCATCCTTTTATCTCTATTTTTCTTTGTTCTTTATTTCAAGCCTTTTATCATGTTTTCATAGAATTAGCCTACATAGATAGTTCTTTGCCTATTCTTTCTTTCATAGAATTAGGTAGTATGTTTCGATTTCTACTTCAGTAAAGACGAATTTCATGTAATCTCTCTTCTATGTAATAACGTGCCATCGATAAGACGAATTATTCCTTGTCGGCGCTAGGGTTCTTTTCTCACTTTTATACAAATCGAGTTGCTTGGCTTGTTCAACTATTTATCTCTTTTATCTTTTTCCCTTTATTTTTTTGCAAACTAGAGTAAACCATAAGTTCTCGATTCCGTCCGAGACTTGTTTTTGAACTCATCCAGAATCATCTGAATATTTTATGTTTGAGAGATTTTTACTCTTCTTTTTTTCCCACAGTTAAAAAGGTAATATTTTCGGCACAAACATTTATCCAATCATATTTGTGGTTTGTTCATTCTTGATCAACAATCATTCCCTTATTTACGTATTAGGTAAGACGCAATAGATAAGACTTTGTAATGGATTATGATTGTATTTCTTTTCTTTGCTTTTTCGCAATGAAACTGTCAAGAGATTTTCAAAAATTATTGTAACACAGTTATCCTTTAGGGTAAGTTTTAAGCATTGTTTTTTTTAATTTTTCTATTTAGTTAATAAAGTTAGAGGATGCTCGCTAGGAACCGTCCTAGATATTAACCACAAAAAATTGTGTACTAAAGCATGTTTAGTGTTGAATGGTTTTAGTTCTATTGTTAAAAAACGTAGTGTAAGTCTAAACTTAATTATTTCATTGAAATTTCTCTTATTTTATTTGTAAATTTATTACGTTTGGACTAAATTTTAGCTCGAAAAACATTCAATAAATAATGAAAACTATATACGATGCAGTATCAATGTATTTAAAATTATATACACATGTGTGTGTCTATATATATATATATATATATATATATATATATATATATTCACTTTTTTGTCCCAGACTAACGGGTTAATCCGGTGATTAAATAATATCACTCCGTTTGATAATGACGGTTACAACCTAAAACATATTGGGCCCCAAATATTTTTCATGCTTAGAAATTCTTGGACTTTCTAAAATGGCTTGAACATGTTGCACATAATTGCATTGCTCTTTGGAACCGGTAGATTTTAAAGAACTGTCAAAATTTTATGATAAATTGCATGGCTCCGTGGAATCGCAGCAATCTGTAGAATTTAAAATATCATTAAAATTTTAGGATTTTATTATTCTGTGTGATTTAAAGAAATTGACTTTTAGGGACTTTCATGGAATTTTTTTTATTAAACTAAATAGGTTGGGCCGGAATTTTGGGCCATTAAATATTTAGTGTACTACCTATAAGGATTAAGGTCCATACTCCATAAATGGGGTTTTTTTTTTTTTTTTTTTGCCTTAGATCTTACAAACATATAGGGAAAAGAACACATCTACATATATACACACACATCTTACTATATTAGAAACAAAAACCACATTTAAGAGAAAGCACCACCATTTGCCATGTGGCATTTTCATATCATATTTTTAAAATAAATTTTTATTTACACATTGGTTTCCTAGACTTAAAAGGCAAATGCAGTCCAAATCCACCACCACCTCCTATTTTCGCCAAAACAAAAAAAAAAAAATACGGCTTCATAAAAAACACAAATCTTCATCTCCATCTCCACGACAATCGACCCCCTAATCAATCCCTTCTCCATAATAAAAAAAAAAAACAAATTCCTCATCAATCATCAATTGAGAATATGTGGTGAAATATACTTCTTTTTTATTAGCATGTTCAATCTTTTCATTAGTGATGATCAACTACATCCTAATTAGATAAAATTTCGATTTCAAAAAATATTCTCTTTACCTCTCTATATAAACACAAAGGGAAAAAAAAATTCTCATTGATGTTGCTTTCGGCCGTTGTGGTTGTGCCATTACAGATATTAAAATTTAAATGATTTTATTTCCACAGATCGTTTGTACGTCTTTTATGATTTGTTGTTTTTCCCGTTCAAGAATAGTGTTATTACTATTATTTTTATGCGTCCACCCGTTACAGCTACCGTAGCCGTCGCCAGGTAATATGATGTGATTTTTTATATGGTTAGTCAGCTTAGAATTTTTGTATGATTTTAGTTCTGTTTGAATTGAATTGATCAATTGGATTTTTAGCACATAGTGTGGTTTTTTAATTTTTTTTATGTTTTATTCATTTAGAGTGGTTTTCCTTTTTTTAATTATGGAGTCTCAGTTTTTTTTCGTATATGGTCAGTTATGAATTGTGTTTTTTCTTTGTTTAATTGCTTTTGATTTTGTTTCATACTCCCAGTTGACCAATTATTATTATTATTATTATTATTATTATTATTATTATTATTATTATTATTATTTTTGCAAATGAAGCGCGTTTTTTTTTTGTTTGGACTTTCAAGAATATACTTTTTTGGATTTGGTTTTTGGATTTTTTTAAATTACTCATCATATAAATGGTTCAGGTCGCTTCTTCTAACTAATTTATGGGAAAGCCTTTTATGAATTTGAGGTGGAGAGGGAAGGAATGATGTTTCTACGTTTATTTGTGTTTACATCATTTTTACCTACAGGAAAAAAAAATTTCTCAATTTTTAATGGACTCTTTTACTTATTTTTTTTTATTTGCCATGGTGAGGTGAGTTCTTTTTTGCTATAACTTGAAACCTATGCAAGTTTACATTAATTTTCATTCTCATATTTGTGATCAACCAGTTTCAACAATTAATCAGTTTTAAAATCATATTTTTGATATTTTACTAGCTATAAGCCTTTGGAAGAAACAGTCTCAACAATTAAACGTATAACCTTCGGAGGAAGCTTACTACAAAGCTATTATAAATCTCCAAAACCAAGTATTGATTTGGCACGATAAATGGAGAACATCAATAAATCATCTTACTAATATTTAAACTTATTAGGATACTTTTATATTTTGTCTAACATTCACTTCAAGAGATATACTTGATCAAGTTTATTTATATTTAATAAGTAACACTTATAAAACATTTCTAAAATATTCAAACATTTCTAAAACGTACGGGGCCAAATACACTTTCGTTTTTTTGCCAAATACAAACATTTCTATGATCACACTCTTAAAACATTTCTAAATTCTTCAAACATTTCTAAAATATATCGGGCGAAATGCAAAATATTTTTTTTTCAAATACAAACATTTCTAAGATCTACAGATATACTGGGCCAGGGTCGCGCATTGCGCGACTAGACATCACTAGTATAGATATATTAAAGGAGAGTTTGTAATCGACACGTGTCTCTCAATGAGTAAATTTAGGATTATTGTGTCACGTGTCGTCACCAAAACTCTCCTTCACTAAACTGTTAAAAATTTATTAGTAAATAGTAAAATTATTAAATTAAATTCAAATAATTAACCGGAAGTTATTTTCAAAAAAGTAAATAACATGTCTTTCATTCTTGTTATATGTGTATATATCATTTACACCATTTAAGTAAATAATTTGATGCCTTGTTAAAAATAGCTTCAGCGGGAACTATGGTCAACTTTGATCTTTTTGAAGCTTTACTTACAAAAACTAAGGGCCTATTGATTTTAGATCAAAGATCCTTTCCTTATGTTAGATCAAAGTGTAGCTAGTTTATCGATTTTTTTTCTCATTTGTAAAGGGTAATTAGACCATACACTACCCTACTTTTTTGAGAATTAATTAGAATAAATCAGAGATGCTGCGAAGTATGCTTAGGAGAGTGCAATATTCATCTTAGAGATATGCCCTCTAAGTGTGTTGTGCTTTTATATGCATATTCATGCTCTTGATGGTTGATGGGTATCGAGACCACCAAAATA